GATGGAAGTTTTCACCAGGGAGGGGGAACATGGTTCTGAGGGTTGATAATGGACTACTTGAAGTGTGGGAATGCTCCTCCGGACGTCGACTCTTTGAAAAGGTATTCGAAGATCGGCCGAAATATTATTTCTCTCCTGATGAATCATCCATTATATGTATCCAAACCTCTGTGGTAGAGCAGATATCTGCCATGAATGGCTCTGTTCTCCACAGGTGGGATGTCACCGAGCCGATCACAGGTGTCGCATTCTTTCCTGGAGGAGATAAATTCATCTTATGGGAACTCAAATCCATTGGGTTCGAGACTGGAGCCCTCTATCTACTTGATGGAAAAACTCAACGCAAGAAACGCATAAACTGTAACGCCATCTCCATCTCCCCCGATGGACAAAAGGTCGCTGTTGTTTATGGTGACTCGATTAAAATATTCAACCATACCCTTGACAACAGGCTCAAAAAACATAGATTAAAGCGTTCCCAAGTGTTGAAAATAACGGATTATCAGTTTTCCTGGATCCATTCCATTTTAATTCAAATCGACACTCAATCCATCGCATTCCATGGATTCTCACCTGATCTCCAATCACAACACTCGAGTTCCTACCTTCTGGATGCACATAAAGTGTGGCTCTCTCCAGACAGCCATTACCTCCTCACTAGTTCTTGGCGCAGTGCTCGGACGCATTTATGGGATGTAAAATCAGGTCAAATAAAAGGCACACATAGCTTTTATTTTCATTCAAATTTCCAAGTAGAGTATGCGTCAGACTCTTCTTATGGAATTTTATGGGACAAATCTGGGATCATCGTTCTATCTCTTCCTACTGGTCATGTCAAATTTATTCCATTACCAGCTACCGATACTAGACTTCCATATTTACCATCATCAAAGTCGATTATCCTCTGCGTGACCTTCTTTCCCAATTCACGCCGGATTCTCATGGTGGATTCCAATCAAAATTTGACTGTAATATCACTCGATGACATGAATCAGAATTCCAGACCCCTTTTATGCTCGGCAGTGGATCACATACGACAACTGGTAATCTCGCCAACGGAGCAGCTGGTTGCAATATTCACCAATCAAGGATTAATTGTCCATGGAATCGAGAAAGATATCTATCTAATTCCTCTTTCCACGAGTACATTGTGGGGTGGTGGGTTCTCTCCAGATGGCTCTTATATTTATGCCGTCGACAGGAACTCTAGAAGATGGACGGTCTCAACCATTGATACAATGAGCTGGGTCCTCCAAAAACTCTCTACAGAACCTGTGCGAGCTGCCATTAACCCGAACACCTTGGTTTCTGTCTATACAGTTGTGGGCCAGGGATGGTCTGCCCTGAAGATTTCATCCTCCGAACGTGAAGATATATTTATTGATCTTTCTACTGGTAAAAGAATTATCCCACCCTCGTCTCGATTCGTCGGAAACCAGCTTAAATATGGGGATCGATGGCTCATGTCTGTACCTCAGGACGCACGCGGGAATTGGAGCTTGACCCAGGACCACATAGCGTACATAGATGAGGAAGGACGGCCTATTGTTATCGACTACTCTTCTCTCGTCGCACAAGCGTGAGCCTTGGTTATTACCTATTTTTGTATCATTCGCTAATTTTTATTAGATTGCAAGGGGTAAATAACCCCAAGGTAGTAGAGGTTTGGAGAACAGAGTGGCTGGAGCATTTAGAAAAACTTCGACCGGAACTACCTGAGGACCAACGGGTACCTTACTTCAAGGAATTAGAGTTTTGGAGGACAGAGTGGTGGGAGCGGCTGAAACAACTTCGACTGGAATTACCTGAGGACTCTCCCCATGAACGACAAAAGGAAATTGCCGAAAATATTGGATGCATAATGATGCATGGGACATTAGAGGAGATCTTGGCAATGATTGAAGATGGGGAGCAAGGCGAGCATCTTCAATCAAGGGTGAATGCGATTCGACAGGATGCAGATCATATGCAAGCTCTCAGGAAATTATGGGAAGAACAAGATCTGGATCTCTTAGAGAATAAAGGTCTTGTAAACCATACTAGCTTAGGCCCTGAAGCGGATTCCCACCATCTCTTCGGGTGGAATGGATGGACACCGGTACCTCAACCTGGGAATAGTCAGGAATTTATCTCTTGGGCATATTAATAAACATATATTTAATCTGGTACCTAGCTCAAGGCGAACACAATTGATAGAAGGACAAGGGAAGAAGCAATTAAAAGACATCGATTGACAAGGAAGATAGACTTAGGTACAATACAGAGACGACGGAATAAAGCTAGGATGAATGAATTAAATTAATATTAGAGAGAGGAAATGTGATTGCGACTGCGAGGAGCCTTGGTCGCTGGTTAATTCTGTCTCACAGGGAATGGATTTGACAGGCGGTCAGATCACACCCGAGCCCAGCCTCTCAATGAACTTGGTCTGCTTAACGCGCCCTGAACTTAGGATCCGAGATTGACTGCTCGGATGAGAGGTCGATTGTGGATCGAATCCGTCACAATGTACACTATCATGCCACAGGCCTACCGTAACCTCATGCAACATTGTCTCGATCCAACCTTCGCTTCTTGCTTTTCAGGTGTCTTTTTTCTCACATTAATGGTACAGGGGACCTTTAAGTATTAACCAGAGATCAGAGAAAACCACGGATCCGGATGGTCACTAAAGCCTTGTAGGACGGTTGACGGACACAGATAGCAAACTAGGCTTATGTCACAAAGGAAACAAAGCCTATTTAGTGAGCAGAAAGTTATTGGCTTACAGTTCTTCCCTAAATCTCTCATTGGAGTCGCGGCATGAGTACGGCGACAATTCAGGGAGCACTCTTGGAGTGGACACTACCGGGCCAAAGCAAATTAATGATAAATATTTAATTCATCCAATCTACATCCATTCAGCCTCGTAATGACTACGATGCACATTCCATTCAAGTCGTCAGACGGTGTAAATCACCGGAAGCACTGCAATGCGATTAGCATTGCGAGGCATGCGTCTGGGAGAAGATAGAACGCACCTCAGAGATGATCGTAGCACTAGATTCTGGCCCTCGAGGAGATCAGCGACCAACCAGGGAGTGGCGCGTGGTCGCCTCTCCTCTCCTCTCGACCACGACCCTCGCTGCTCCTGCGGCTTGGGCTTTCTTTGTACCCACCATCCCACCCTAGGTCATCGGAATGCCTATCTCTGTAGCACGGCTCACTTGCAACCCTTTCACACAGGGTTCGCAGTCAAAGGCCCGTGACAGGAAGCCACAAAAAGTACGTGGGATTCACCGGACTTTGCTGCTGAGTTCATCCCACATCACGCGTTCATGTATATAATATCGCTTTTGATAGCAATAAAATAACTAAATAATTCATTCCTTCAATTCAAAGCTGAGATAGTTATTCTGGCCCTTCTGGCGCGTCAAGCACCCGGTGGCTTCACGCGCTTTTGGATTTGACCTCATCAAGAGACGGCGGCAACGTTTGCGGCAGGCCCGGGGATAAACCCAAGAATTCATGCAATATATTTCTGGCATCACCGTAGTCTGTCAATCGCGCCTTGGTGAGTGGGACCTGCGCCACTCGATGGGTTCATCGCTTAGACGGAAAGCTTCACCGTGATGCCTTCCCTTTGCCGATTTTTTTTATCTGGTGAGCTCTTACATTGAATCTATGGTATTGTGGAACCAGTCTTGACGGATTGACGCGTGCAGATTAGGCCTACGCGATGATTTCACTGGAGTCATTGCGTAGGCCCGAACTGCTGAAATCAGGTCAGACAACCACCTCGCTTAAAGGGAGCATGTAATTTCCGGTGAAATCATGTCTTTAATGGCGGCATTCCTGTAATCCGGGTCTGGACGCTAGCTATCAACCAGGATCGCTCGACTATTTCATTCGCTCAGCGCTTGAATTGAACCTCGAACCGGCGTCAGTCGGTGAGTTCTTCTTTATGTTGGTGATATATTCGCGATCCAGGGATTGACATCGGCTCTCCCTAGGTTATTTCGATGATTTCATCTGGCCCTTTACCGTATACGGCACACACGATCACTAGCCGAACATAGTAGGTCTGTTTTCGTCTCTAAAACATCCTTTTAGTGCTGACTTGGATAGTTAGCGCGTTCCACAATCGCCCAACAACTTTGCCAATCCAATACGCCTCTTCTTAGTGTTGTGATGCCTCGACCGCTACTCTAAAATTGGAACAATTCGGTGGGTTCACATCCATATCGTTATGCACGGGTGCTAATCTCGGCTGCTCCTCAGGTTCTCCCGATGATTTCATCTAGCTCTTTACTTAGGTAGTACACACAGTCACGAGGTGAATGCGGTGAGTTCACTTTCGTATCGACAAAGTCCTCCCAACACTAAATTAAATGGCCAGCACGTCTTATAACCGCCCGACGAGTTCATCAATACCGCACGCACCTTGGCTACAATGCGACACCTCGATCCTTAATTCACGATCGGAAGAATATGGTGAGCTCATACTGATGTCGTTATGCATAGGTACTAATTTTGGCTACTCCTCAGGTTCTTCCGACGAATTCACTCAGCGCTTTGCTGGACAAGGCACAGGCGACCATTAGACGAAACACAGTGAGTTTATATTCATATTTTTCATATTGGAACAACCCTGTGACACTGAATTACGTATCCAACACGTTCAAAAATCGTTCGAAAACTACATTGAGCTGACAGGTGTCTTCACCGGGATGTGACGCCTCGTTCCCTACTTCACAATCTGAGTAATCTGGTGCGTTCACCTTGTCATTGTTACGTACAGGTGCTCATCTTGGCTGACCCCTGGGTGAATCCGACAGCTTCATCCCTTGGGCTTGCGGCCCGTTGTGACTTCTTGATCGGAACCCCACCACTGCTAAGGATGTAGGCGATGGTGCCATAGTGTTACAGATAGATGCAAAGACATACCATCTGCAACTATCTCCCATCTGTGGGACATTCAGCATCACCGCAGCATGGTCCCGCATGCCTAACCTGTCCAACGCCACTCGGTGGTTTTATTCGCCACACTACAAACCCATTAAAATAGCACGCACCACGGCACCTGGATGGTATGGATGCCCACGACGATCCTCGATGGTCCCGACATGGGTGCCGAGAGCGCAACCCGTGTCCAACGCCATTCTGTAAGATTGTGCAGCGTGGTCTCCTCACCCCGAAAGCTGACCCTGAGACTAGAATTCGATTTGACGTACTGCATAACGCTTACTTATATGGGATGGAACTTTTGGCGCTCGGTAGGGGAGAACACGGTGACTTCATTGGACAGACTCAAGACACTAGCAAGCGGCGATCACCCGTTGATCTCGAGAAATGGGGATTCGACTTGCTCTTTATGGTACATGACAATACCAGCGCTATTCCAAATCCAGGTTGAATGTCATGCAAGATGATCGTTTACCCAGCCGGCCTACCCATGTTGCTGACCTCCGACCTTCCTATTTGGGCAGACGCGTAGCGCATTAGGGTACGTCAATTCTACGTGATGGTTAGTATTTCATATAGACTAATGACCTGAATTCTGATATGGTGCCATCCAAATGTTCATATCTGCTCCGCGTGCACATTCAGTCACGACTCGAGATGCCTCAATGCTCGCGTTCAAATCCCATTCCCATTGCATCCTTTACGGCTCAGGGATGGAATATATCAAAATTTGGCGTTTGATCGCAATATTCATGGCAGATTTGATGGTATGGACATGCACGATGATCCTGACGCTTTGCTGACGATGAGGCCAGGCTTGCCAGGGCTGTTTGCAAACCATAGAACAGGGTCTTTCGTGAAATTTCTGCTCAATTCGTGCCGATATTCTCTACTCCAAAGCTACCCTTCGGATTCGCTGATTGATATTGCCCACGAGGGTTGTATAAGTTATTTCCTGCATAACGATATATCTTGTGCCCTGAATATTCGACCCTTTTGTGGCTCACTACACTGTTGCGATACTGTGAACCTGGTATCTCGATTCAAACAACTCTCGTCCAGACATCCCCTCCCCTTTTGCCTTAACGCAGCCTCAATAGTATCAAATTCGCCTATGGGCAGGAGAAAACTCGACGATGGGAGCTCCCACCTTTGCCGTGGAATTGTAGAAGTAAACGATCATGGAAACTACGCGCGAATATTACCCACCAGGACTCGAAAAGCTGCAACAGCTCTCACCCCGGCCCAACCCAACCCAAAACCACACCATGTTGATCAAGACCTTTCTCCCGAGACCAATTTTACTACTCTTTGGCATGAAGTCTCAAAGCCTCAAGAGCCCCGTAAAACTAAAGTAAGACTAAACTGGAAGTTGGCCCAACTACTGACGTTAGCTTTATCAGACACAACAGGACACTTTGTCTGAATGGAATGATCGATTCGATCGATACATGTCCTCTTTGCTTGATCATGAGGGTATACCGATCTTACAAGACTGTGGGTGCGGAAGTGGCATCTCAGCTATCTACAAATGCCATACCTGTGTCGCAACCTCCTACCGTTGTATCAATTGCATCAAACTACAGCATCAAGTAGCCCCCTTACATCGTATTGTCAGATGGAATGGCGCTTTTTTGGAAGGCATTCAGTTAACCGAACTTGGAATCTCGATTTCGGTACACCATTCTGATGCAACTCCCTGCAAAAGCCAACGAAACCACGGGTTAATCACAGTCGTCGATATCAATGGTTTTCACGAAATAGAACTTTATGTTTGTAGATGCGACGGCCATGACCCTGTGGATCTCCAATTATTCAGCTTACAACTTTTCCCCGCAAGTACCATAACGCCAAGGACTGCATTCACATTCAATGTCCTGGAACAATTCCGCCTCCTTCACCTCGAAGGAAAGGATAGTGCCAATGCTTTTATACAGGGCCTTATCCGTCTGACTACAGACGAGTATTTCAAGGCATGGCCCATTAGGGTGAGCAATGCATCTTTGTAAAGAATTTTCTGACATAATTAGGATCGTGGCAGAGAATTTCAGCGAGTGGCCCGACAATGGAATTATTTGCTTGCAAAGAAGAGTGCTCTTGCTATGGACACATTGGCGAATCCTCTGGCACCTCGATGCCCAGCATGCCCACATCCTGGTATGAACATGGATGTAAATTGGTTTGAGTATACTCCTCCCGAAAAACAGTAAGTTCCATTTACAGTCCAATTATATCAGCTCTGCTTATACATGGTTTCAGCTGGCTGGCACGTCAATTTGTGCATTTCGATGCCAATTTTCGCCTTGTACTGGAAAAGCGGGCACAACCGTCCTATAAGGGCTTTGGGCTCTGGGAGGATAAGGGCTTTTTTGTTGGCAGTAAACGTTACAATGAATATCTTAAGAAAATGGATGAGTCACAGCAATCCCAGCCAGTAAGCAATCCCCCAAGCAATATCCCTCATCCTGACCATAAAATAGACATCTACCTGCTCTGATTACCGTGCACTCTCGACTCACAACCGTTCACGTTTCCAGAGCCTTGATGTAACGGGTGTTGCTGGAGCGGTATGCCGTCATGAATGCATACTTCCTGGAAGTTTTATAAATCTCCATAAGGGAGAGAGGTGCGCATGTAACTTGTGGCGGAAAATGTGACAAAGCTGATGTGACAAATAGGTTCGTGAACTCGGACTATGCTATCTCAAATTTATTATCAACATTCAAGAAGATGAAGGAAGTTGTTGTCACGTATGATATTGCGTGCCAGTTTTCTAAACACTTCCTTACCCGCATTCAATCTGGTTCACCTTACCTGAGCCTACCCATTCCTCGCCTGTGGTGGCTTGTGCCCAAGTTCCACCTTGCAGTGCACAAAGATGACTGCCAGTGCCGGTACTCTTTGAACTATTGCAAGGGTGTAGGGAGGACAGACGGTGAAGCGATAGAACGAACTTGGAGTACACATAACCACCTCTCTGGTAGTACTTCCAAGATGACCCCTGGCTTTCGATTGGACACACTTGAGCTTCACTTCTCTGATTGGAACATTCAAAAGACTCGAAAAATGGGTATGTTGTGATCTCACGATAGTATTGGTCTCATAGTCACCATAACAGGTGTCAGTCTTCACAATGATTTACTCAAGGCACGTGAACAGGTCGAAATACATACAGCAGAATATAAGGAGCTTTGTGATGGGCTGCCTCCTAAGTCAACTGATGTGCGCAATATTCCCTATGCTGATTCTCATCTGACCCACGTCTAGAAGTGGATTCTTGAAGAGAAAAACTTCGATATTTCTCAAGGTGAACAGAACATCTACAAGGCCATGGCTGAAAAAGGTGAATTACTTTCCCTACTGGACGAGCAGATCTGACACTTCTCCCAGCACCATCAAAATCAATGGTTCTATCAAGCCTCAAGGAGCTCGAAAATCCAATGAGCAATGCAGCTGATTCAGAGGATCCATCAACAACAGTCGCATGGGTCAATGAAGGACTGGAAATTGAGGAAAATCAGTTAGTATCATTTTCTCATCGACTATGTCATCTGCTAAGATAGTCCAGGCTTCGCATTCGAATAAGAAAAGCATCAGTCAACTCTGGTTCTACAGAGCGGGACCATGTACTCCTGGCTCGTGCACGAACCTCACTGTGGGAACGCATCCTGAACTGGCATGAACAATCTCCCCTGGAGTCTGGTGATATCGAACTTAACAAGGAAGAGCCCGAATTCCCAGAAAATCAGCCCATCACTCTGCCTTCATCACTACCACATATTGCTCGACCCCGTGATCTTGCTGATTTGGAACTGCAGTTGAGGGAGGGTCAGGCAAATGATGCTCTCAGAACCATTCGTGGATATCTGTCTCAGAAGCTGGTTCTAACTCGTGCGAGGAAGGATAATCGAAGCCAGCATAGTGGACGTCTCCTCAATGATGCAGCAGAGAAATTCAAGGCCCCAATGAATCTGGCTGTAAGCCAATACCGAAGGGCATATGATGCCATGATTCAGCTTGGAATGCGCCAAGAAAACCCAGTGTATCGGCCTCTCCTAGATAGTGACATCACCACTAGCAAAGTATTTGATGTTAAGCGTTCTGTAGGACGAGGATATGAAAAATTATCCTGGATTTGGTCCAACAGTGGTGCAATGGCATCGGGTTCGTTTACTGATAGTTGGTTGGAAGAAGGTATGCCTATAGTTCAAAATTTATACATAAACTAACCCGTTTAGTTGTACGTGTCCAATTCCTGGATGCCAAAGTCAATCGTGATCGTTGGATTGAAGAAGCCGAGCTATTGGAAATAGAGCTCAACCGAACAAGGCAGTACTTTGGCTTTCTCTCCCAACGGTGGGAGTCTTTTGGTCAACGGAGACTTGATGGATGGGCAGCATATGGGAAGCGAATGGCTGCAATGTACCGTGTCTTGGCCAATGATGTCCATAAGCTCATGTTAACAGGGTGTGACCGTAAATGATACATGGTAGATTTTGGTACAATATGCCTCTTATACAATTACCTTCGTATTAAAATACTATTTTGAGTTCTTCCCATGACACGCCCTTCTCCCTTAAGACTATGGAGATTCACCAGACATTCCATTAAGTTACATGATGCCCAATGCCCTGCTGACACCTTGGTGTCTATATACTATGTACAAGCGACCGATATAGGCGATGTTTGCCTGGTCTTTGCCGCAGTTAAAGAAACCATTCTACAGAATGCTTTCCCTGATACGGGATTCTGTAACTTTTGGCCCTGTTTCGTCTATCCTTGGGACGAAACATCTTGTTATATATCTTCTCCCTTTGTCGACGATACCCTTACAGGCTAGGGGTTTTCGTCTTGTACCTCGCAATCCAGCCGTCGCTTTCGCCTGCACCCCGACAGGATTCATATCTTTGACTGTCTGCACCTATTTTTTCTGCTATTACTTTGGACATTCTGGACAGGCTTCACCGCACTCACGAATTTGTACTGCTCTCATTTCGAAACTTATCTTATGGATCACATCGGACCACGTCCTCATCCAAGCGAGAATACTCTATTGACACTCCTTCAAATACTGTATGATCATATTTCTACAAGTATACTGTGTGTATTTTCAATCCCAATACCCATGAGGGGTAGGCTTGATGACAGTGCCGCCCATGATTGAATGCGATGTTGGTAGGTAGTGTCACTCTCTCACAACTCTTGTGGGCCATTCTAGTCTTGTTTTGCAATATTGTACGATTCTTATCTGTGATCACTCTTTCTTTGCTGAGTGAGGATCAAACTCACAGTTTGGTGAAGTGATAAGTTGTCGAAGACTCATTTCACCCATCATGCAATCAATCCCTTTTCATGTCAATGACTGGTAAAGTAAATGTTTTCTGATGTCTATACTGACTATAAGACTCAATATCACTATTTAGTTTGTCCCTCAGATCCCCTGTTCCAAGGTTCTAATTGACTCATACAAGTGAGTGGCACACAGACCCTTACCTCTTACAGCTGGGACAACTGCATGATCAAGCACTTATCTTCCTTCTTACTGATATTTAAAATGCACTGGCAGCACCAATATCAATTGACATAGCTCATCTTACTATATTTTCATTTGGACATCGAACAGGTCGAGTTGGGTTTAGGGCAATGTGACTGACAATTGGGTCACTATGAGGTCAGAATAGTCTATTCAAGCATCATTTCAGTATATGATGCATAATAAATACTCTTGTGAAGCTCATGTCACATTGGACTTGATCAGTGGAGCCGTTGGCAGTCATGTGAGCACTTTAGGGATGTTGATTGAAGAATCATGGGCTCAAGATGAAAGACAACAAGATTAAATACAGGAATACGAAATTAAAGAAGAATGAAACATGATAATGAGAATATTGAAAGGGACAGTTAGCTCGAATGTTGTCCTACAACAATGTTGGTGACAGATTGGATCTATGAGATCCTGCCAGTCGAAACAAAATGTGAAAGAGTTTAAACCACACCACCTGGAACGTCTTCAGCAGTGTCACTTTGAGCACCATCCCTTAAGTGGTTCTAAGCCGGACTAAACATGGTCAGAAGATGGTAACAAAAGAGTCACAAACAACTAAGTCGCAGCAAATGTAGTGATGGTATGTAGTGTATTGAATCAAAAGGAAGGTACTACTCAAAACACTTGCGGTATTGTTTAGATCCACACTGTGCCTATGGCCAGTCTATTACTACTCTAAGCTACTTCTTCGTACGCTTGTTCGCCTGTGGTGGTTGGACTTTCCTACCAGACCGAGTTTGTACCAGCTTGGTCGGCATGGTGTCTTCATATCCACGTTTCCCTGTAGCCTTTTTGGGTGGCTCCTTTGGAGGGGCAGCCTGCCTCCCACTGCGACGAACACTCTGCCCATTTGACTCCATTTGGTTAGTGATTGTGCCTAGAGGAGCAGTTGATGCCGGGGAGCTTGACTGAGGTAACAGGATGGAGGGAGGTTGGGAGGCATTGTCGGACGACAAAGCAGGTCCTGTAGCTTGGAGAGGGCTGCTTGTCTGTATGGTCTCCATTGACGTGGTTATTGCAGGCTCTTGAGGGATGGTCAATGAGAGCGACTGCACAGGCATTGCCAGTGGTGTCAAAGACACATGTGCAGTGACTTGGGATTGAGTGCTGTGCTCCATCGATTGGGATTGCTGAGCATTGGGAGGGGCATTTGTCAAGGATGGTTGCGAGGTTGTTGTTGATGGCATTGCAGACACAGAAGTCATGGCTTGCGTTGAGGGATTAGCCTGTGCAGGCTCGATTGACTGGGGTGGCTGAGCCTCGGGAGGAATGCTCGACAAGGATGGCTGCAAGGTCGCTGTCGACAGCATTGAGGATACAGGAGTTGTAGCTTGCATTTGGGGATTGACCTGTGCAGGCTCGATTGACCGGGGTGGCTGAGCCTTAAGAGGAATGCTCGACAAGGATGGCTGCAAGGTTGCTGTCGACAGTGTTGAGGACACAGGAGTTGTAGCTTGCATTTGGGAATTGACCTGTGTAGGCTCTGTCGACTGAGTGTGATGAGTCTTGGGAGGGGCATTCAACAAGGGTGGCTGCAAGATTGTTGCTGGTAGTGACAAGGATACTGGCCCTGGAGTCGTTATGGGTGATACTGATATTGTGGCTCCAGCAGCTTGTACTGTGAGTGAAGTCGGGGTCGCCTCGTACCAACGGAAGGTTGCCCCTTCAGGAAGTCTCCCCTCATCGCCTTCTTGCAAGTAGGCAAGCATGTGGACTAATTCGGCATGATTCAGCTCAGTTGGGTCCCCATGTTGCCACCAAGATGGTAATTGGGCTGCGTTGCAGTACACCTGGGGGGCATCCCTAATTGCCTTCCACGGTATATTCGTTGTGTGCCTAGAGATAACTGATCCAGAATAAGCAATACTCAATAATAGCTTGATATCACTTACACCATCGCTGTTTCAGGCTATCCCTGAGCATCGGCCGTAAATTGCGGACGGGGGTGTTGAACGCAAAGCGGATCGGAGTAATGGCAGTGGATTGCACCGGAATGGCACCATTCTGATCCGATTGTGGAGGTTGATTGCCTCCAGCTAAGAGAGACATCAGTATGACTGAGGACCAATTCGAAATGCACTACTCACACGCCTGTTCCCCATACTCTATCAAATAGTTCCGGAGACGTTCTGCATCCTTACTGGATTTGGATTGTAGCCATGACAAGAAGGTTGGCTCGCCGGGAAGTCCAAATTGGCTCCTGCAATGAGTGTTTGAGCAAAGGAAATTAGCAACAAAATAAGGACGAACAGATTGGTTCTGTCTCTGTGGCT